CCCTCCTCCCTCTCGTGCTCTCTGTCTCTCATTCTCTCAAATAAATAAATAAAAAAAAAAAAAAAAAAAAAAAAAGAAAGCTTCAGATTCTGCCACAGATGGTCTGTTTGACTTTGTGTGGTCAGTTTCCACGTCTGAGATCTAGAGACAGTGGTAACATCTCGGCCAGCTTCGCGGGCACGTGACCTGTGCAGCCGCTCAGGACCACGTGCTCGAAGAGCCCGCGCTCGCTTTACATGCTCTGCTGTCGCTGTCTTGAAATTCTTAATTATTTTTGGACAAGAAACCCCGAGTTTTCATGCTGCACGAGGCCAGCGAATTCTGTAGCCGGTCCTGGTTAGGTGCTAACCGCCGGGCTGCTATGAGTAGGGACGTTTCAGAAGCGCTCTTGCCGGGCTCATCCTCACTCATCACACTGCATTTGCTTTGATTCCGGCTCCTGGAGTCGTGCCGGATAACCAAGTGGCTCCGACTGCTTGTGATTTTTAAAATTCCATCATAGGAGGAAGAGTACGGGGGAGGTGGGGACTGTCTTGGTGGGAAAGGTCATTTCTCTTCATGCCCCAGATGGATTTTACAAGTTTCCTTCTCTTTGAAGTGTGTGTCCGCCCCCCATTTTCCTGTCCTAAGAGTTTTTATGGTGCCCCAGAGTTGAGGTATTCGACTGTATAATATTTAGAGAGAGGGAAATCGGGGATAGGCAGTAACTGGTTTCCATTTGGTTGGGGCGCAAAGGGACCTGGAAGTGTGGGGTTCAGAGAAGAAGATAAATGGAATTCTTTAACTTTCTCATGAGATTCCAAAATCCTTAAAGAGATCAGATTAGGACTAAAATCTGGCTTTGCAGCAAGTAGCTGAGGGGCAAAGCTGAGGGCAGCCGGGAATTGTCCTTCAGGTTCCTCTCTCCTGTGTCCCACAGTAGCCTGGTCACCCAGCACTGTCCACCCCCTCCCAAGGCCTTTCCAATTTGGCTACTTGCCCCTTCTCTCTGGGCCTGCAAAGCCCCAGCCCCAAAGCATAGCCATAGCCTCCTGACTACACATCCCCCCAGCCATCCCCTTGAATCCACTCTGATGTTGTTATTGTTTGATTAAAAAAAAAACAAAACAGCTTTATGGAAATATAATACACATACCATGCAACCCACCAACTTAAAGCATAGAGTTTGACATTTTTTGGAATACTGCATTATTAATTTTCTGAAGTTGTAAAACCCTATAGAATTTGCTATTTCAAGGGTACAATTCAGTGGTGTTAATTACATTCACCATGTTGTGCAACCATCCCCACTATCTATTTCCAGAACTTTTTCATCACCCCAAACAACAGCTCTGGACCCATTAAGTAATAATTCTCCATTCTCCCTTCTCCCTGCTCTTAGTAACCTCGAATTTACTTTCTGTCTCCATGAATTTGCCTTTTCTAGATATTTCATGTAAGTGGAACCATACAATGTTTATCATATTGTGTCTGGATTATTTCACCTAGCATAATGTTTTCGAGGTTCATTCATGTTGTAGCATGTAGCATGTATCAGAAATCATTCCTTTTTACGTCCACATTTTGTTCATCCACTCATCTGACGATGGGTACTTGGGTTGCTTCTACCTTTGGGCTATTGTGAATAAAGCTGCAGAAAATATTGTCTTGCAAGTATCTGTTTGAGTCCCTGCTCTCACTTCTTTTGGGTATAAAATCCCTGGACCCACTTTTGACCCCTCCAGTCCAGTGACACTCAGCAGCCAGACCAATCTTTTACCAACACACACCTGATCACCTCACTCATCTGCTAACAACATTTTGGTGGCTTAGGATAAAGACAGGAATGCTCACAAGAACTTAGGGTAAAGATGGAAGTGCTCACCAAAGTCTCTGGATCCCTGAGCTCTGGCTACCAACATCTCCACATCACCATGCCCCACCCTTTGATTTCTGCGCTGTTCGCTCTAGACTTCTCTCCATTCTTCTATGGAATGCTCCTTTTGGATTTCATACATGCTTGTCTCCCTTCCTTC